TCAATATTTTCGAAGTGCAGATATACATAAAGTTTATTTTATTTTCTATGAAGAAACCGAAAAAGCGATAAAAAATATAGGTTGCCATTTAAAAAGACACAGTTGGGATCCGCCCAGAAAAAATCGAACACCCTGTGTGACCGCCAATATTTTTATTTTGTCGAGCTCGAGCAATAAGGTAATATTATAGAAAATTAGATTCCTATCTGCTTCCTATATAGAGATATGGAACACCGCGCCACTGTTGCAGGACCCTGTATATCTTATTACAATTGTTGCAGGGAATTTCGTAAACTACATGCGACATTTAAAATAACGGATCTTCATCTTTCAATTTTGAATGTAGTTTATCAAGGGTTTAACTTTCTTTTGTGAAATTTTCATATTCTGTTCTTGTTTAAATACGTTTATGATATTGCTGGACAATTCAGGGACATAAGGAATGGAAAAGTATTTGAAATTTGGATTTTCAGCTTAATTGCTCTCTCTGATGTTGATAATATTAGATGAAGTATTATATAACCAACTTATTTAAAAATTTTGGAAGATAAAATTAGTTAATAAAATATTGAATTATTGTTTAAAATTTTTTTCTACCAATGTAGGATGAGAAATTTTTTCTATTCGATTTTTCAAACATAAAACTAAATTAATTTTCATTTTTTTGTGGATGGCAGGATAAATAGTTTATATATCTGCCTGAATTAGTGGGTTTAGTAAAATAATCTAAAATAAAAGAGTTATCATCATTCCTGATTAAAAGAGTATCTAAAAAAGGCACTGTTTTGTTTTTTTCTTTTTCTATGGTAAATTGAATAAATGGATTGTAATTGTTAAAAATGGTTTTTATATCATCAATTTTGTCAAAAGGTACAGCACATATTATATCATCAACAAACTGTTTATGATGGACCCGTGACGAAGTTGGGAGTTAGTCCTTGTAATCACGAGGTCTTCCAACGATGACACGAAACCGCAGTTGGCCCCCTGATGGTGAATCCGCTTGTTTTGTTTTCGATCCTTTTTTCGCAACCAAGTGTTGCCCATCTTTTACACTTGGCTATACCGTACTGACGACAGCTGAATAGCCAGAAACACGTGTCTACGGTTTGCCCACTTTGTGCTTGTCCAAAAAATTCCTCTTCATTGATAATACCATATCCACTCAATATCCCATAAAGTTTCAATTCTCTTTTCTTCATTATGATTTCCTACCACGTAGGATGGCTCATCCATCAAATTTATTGATAGAATTTTTTTAATATCACGAAACTATCAAGAATAATTTCCGATGAAATAATCCATATAATTTATCCCAAAATAAATTAGAGTGAAGAATAAATGAACGAGGAATATTTTGAAATAACATCATACGAGAAAATAAAATA